ATTTGTTTAACTAACAAACGCGAGCAAATTTGGTCGTTTACCAACAAAGCAAAACAATTTCTTTATACTTAACTTTACTCACATTTGCTCTTGAAGCAGAAAACAATCAAATAACCAGTTTTCTACACATTTGCTTCGTTTTCAAATATTAAAGATTATTCACATTTGCAGATAGTCAATTTTGTAGTAAATATTGAGTTTACTAACAGGTTTGCACGCATGCAATTTTAACGCAAATATACAACAGCACTAACATTTTACTCTGATCGCCAAATCTAAATCAAAGACGGCATTTACCGGCTTTGCTTCATGCGCAAAACCGATGGCAAATCACAGATTTGTACTGAAGCAAATATAAGCAAATTGGAACAAATGTGGTATTTACTTTAAACTTGCTTCACATTTGCGGTGCAGGAAATCCATTATTCTATGCAGTGAATATTGTTTTTGTTGACTAAGTATCTTTAATAAATATTTTTAGTTCCAACCAACTCGCCCGTCATTGGTCGTTATAATATCGCTCAGATCAGGATCTTGAAGAACGATAATGCAAGCGGCGTGTTCCAGCTGTCTGCTAGTAATGTCGATGTTACAGAACCTTACGCAGGTGCAATTGTGAATGTTACAAGAACAGCGGGACACTTCGGTGAAGTACGTACACCTTATGATTATGATTTATGATTTATATAGCGCCCTTTAATATGTGGATATAATCAAAGGCGCTTTACATGGAGTTGTGAATGACAGATTGCTTTATGCAATTTACAAGCATGAGAGATGGTTAGTATGAAGTGTAGGCACTGAGGGTGGTCACTGCCAGGGTTTCTTTTTACGTCCTCAGTGGTTCTTTTAACGTCCTCAGTGGTTCTTTTATGTCCCCCATTTTTACTGTAGGTTAGGAAGGGTTAGGAGACAGGGCCTACGGTTTAAAGTCCTTGTCCGAGAAGACTTGAAGGTCTAACCATTTGCAGATATTATTACAAAGGCAGCACCTTCTCCTCAGTTATCTTAAGACCCTGAGTGTTGGTCCGGCCGAGGCTTGAACCACGACCTCCCGCACAACAGACCGACGCTCTTACCAACTGAGCTACCCGGGTGGCGGTTGACCTTCTGTCAATAGTCCCCTTCACGGTTCCCTGCGCCATCTTGAAAGGTAGCCGGGCCTTTGTATCGAAGCGAGACGAACGGTGAGCTTGCAATAATAGAGACCCTTTTTTAACATCTTGGACAATTATTCACAGGTCCCTATCATTGCAAGCTCACCGTTCGTCTCGCTTCAACGCAATGGCCCGGCTACCTTTCAAGATGGCGCAGGGAACCGTGAATGGGGGGTCTATTAGCCTCTCACGCATATGTTCTTCGTGACTGTCACGCAACGTTTCCTTCCCTACCAACTTCTGCTTACTTGAGCAGAACATTCTTTTCCAAACATTGACTGACATGCTGATTGGTGAATCGAGATTAACTTCGCGACATCAAAAATTGCGTATCTCGTAGTTCAGAACGTTTCAGCATGTTTGCAATATTTTCAAAATTATTAACCTGGGCTCTTACCAGAAACAAGCGATCGAAGTTTTTATGAATCAGAAAAGCAAAACATTTGATAGCATGCGGATTTCCTTCCGAGTTGGCACGAAATTTCTATCGAGGATTTTTCACTCGTTACAAGCAGACGTTCGTTGGAAGGGAAACGTCGCGTGACAAACACTAAGAACGTCTGCGTAGGAGTCTACCTGTTACTATGACTATCAACATGACTATCATGCAGTGAAGCAACATTTTCATCACTGACTAACTCTTGAGGGAATATCATGAATAAGATTTAGTTTTAGATCTTACTTTTTCGGGTTTTTTTTGTTTGTATTTTAGGTGTCTGTTTACTTCGAAGTCATTCCAAACTCAGCTTCCACGTCAGACTATAATATCCTGTACAAGAACATCACCTTCCAAGACGGACAAAGAAGTGCCTCAGTACCAATACAAATAGTGGATGACGATACCCCGGAATACGATGAAATGTTCACTATTAGGCTCCTGTCATCTGATGAGGATGCGTTGCTTGGAAGTCCTCTGGAATGTCTTGTAACCATCGCTGCCAACGACTACCCTTATGGTCTAATAGGTAAGGTGCAGTAGATTTTAGGATGATGTTAGGAGACTCTCAGGAAACTGGTATACCGCTCAAAACCAAAATGAGACCAGAGGCAGACCCAGGATTTTGTTGAGGGTGGGGAGGGCGGGGTGCAGGCAAAAGACGGCAGAACCAAAAAAAAAAAAAGCTTTCCAAATCATTTTCAATTTGAATAGCTATTGTTCTGCACTGACTAGCATCGTGTCCATATGGAAACATAAAAGCGTTCTCACACTATGATAGGCTAGTCAGTCGCTAGTCAATGCAAAATGATCCAGAACTGAATTTCAAATTTTCCATAGATGGTTAAGGCCCCGTCCACACGTATCCGGAAATTTTTGTATCCGCAAATTATTTTTTGCGGATGCGAAAATGTTTGCGTCCACACGCAGCGTATTCGAATCGTTTCCCGCACCGTCCACACGTATCCGTTTTTGTAAAATTTGCGGATACGGACACAAAAATTTGCGGACACGTGTGGACGCAACCCGTATCCGTAAAAAAAAATTTGCGGATACAAAAATTTGCGGATACGTGTGGACGGGGCCTTAGTATCAGTTATTCATATTTGGTATTTCAATATTCCACGCCAGTTTTAATTTTGGGAAACCTCATAGTCACCGCTCGAGCAGTGATTATTAAACTCTGTATTCAAGTCTAAAATTATACTAATGCTGGATATTCCATTTTCAAAGACGTCTAACTTCGACTAATTTAAAACCAAACTAAGAAAAATCTGGATAGATATGACTTTCCGATTTCATTTTTCTCTTGATAGAGTTTAAAAGTAGCTCGCGCAGTGTCACAACTGAAGAACCTTCAACCGGCTCAAACAAAACTGTCAGTCTTGAAATTGAGCGTACATTTGGTACTGATGGGGCAGCTGAGATTTATTGGGAAGCCGTGGCACTGAACGGAGCCCGACCATCCAGTGACGTCACACCGGTCAGTGGAAACCTTTTGTTTCCACCTGGGTCATCAGAAAGAGTGAAGACATTACATTTTGATATATTATCTGACGATATCCCGGAAATTGATGAGGTCAGTGAGATGTCTAAAGAATATGTATCGTTGACTTTTATCTACATTAACTTTCTTGAGACCAAGTATAGACCCCTTGCAGCACGTCGGAATGCATCTCAATTTGGAGGACATAGCAAAAGGTTTCCTATTCTCAGGAGATTGAAATTCTTTTGTTTTGTCCTCCAAAATGAGCTGCTTTGACGTTACATGCAAGGGGTCTATTGACAGGTAGTGGGTGTTCTGTCTCGTGGCCGGATTCCTAGCTATTTTGTACTGACTAAGGAAACTTTTACAATCCCCCGGCCCCCATCAGCCATACACTACCATCAGCTGTATGTACCAAAATATTCAATAATCATATACTAATCATGGTCATGTTTAAAGTTTTCCAGCCAGTTGACGGCTTTTTTTTGTGGGTTGTTCGTTTGCTTGGAATTTAGAAGTCACTGCTTCAATTTGATTTGCAATATTCCAGTTTCGAGTTCGTTTTTGCTCAGGAATAGCCTCGATTTAGGCAGAATATTTATGTGGTCCAGTGAAAATCCGTAGAATTCTAAAGTGTTTGTATTTTCGAACTTATGCATTCTTTACTTTACTGTCGGTATTTGTGAATATTTAAACACTGATACGAGGCTAACCCTGAGTAAATGAGTCTGTAATCAAGGAACACAGCGGTAACTTGGAACTCGGCAAAGGTCTACAGAGGCTTACGTGACGGCAGCCATGTTAGATGGCAGGAACAATACAATCGTTATACATGAAAAATAAATAAATTCCCGAGAGCAAAGGGATTTTATTGTTCTGCCATCTAACCACAGGAAGCCCAAGCAGTATTATGGGATGGGCACGTGATGGTGCAAAACCTCTATTGATACCCACTTTGTCAATTTGGCGGGCTTGTGGTAAGCCCAATGTTGTAGAGAGGAGCTTGTTTGAATTCATTATTTCATTTTCTAAGGTTATACAAATTCACCTGATGAACGTGACAAGKGGTAAAGCAAAGATCAATCCCCAGTCACGTGTTGCTAATATAACAATATCAGCCAATGACGAACCACATGGCGTCATACATCTCGCTCGCAAGGCGTACGACGTAATAGAAGGAAACCACAAGAAGACAATGACTGTGCATCTTGCAGTGAAGAGAGATTACGGTACCTTCGGTGATGTTCGTTTATATTACAGGTATAGATAAACTGGCATCGTGATTCAAGTACATAGGCGACACTCCGGCAGGCAACTCTCATATTTGGGAGTCTTTTTAAGGATTGGGATTTTTGTGGATTTTTGTGATTCTCAGTCTTTCTTAGCTCATTCGCTCGATTCCAGCTTGATTCACGGTATTCTTGATTTCCAATTCTCAAAGAACCCCAAATAGAGTTGATTGTAGACTGTTTGTCTGTAAAAATGCCGTGCAGATATTTCCCATATTCTTGCTAGACTGACTTGTTTCGTTTGTTTTTATTTGTTTGGAACTTACTTGCTTGTTTTCATATTCTTGTATTTTAACTTATTTTTTATTTGTTTGTTTTCGTTTGTTTGTTTGTTTGTTTGTTTATTCGTTTGTTTGTTCGTTCGTTCGTTCTTGCTAGATTGTTTTTGTTTGTGTGTTTGTTTTTGCTTGTTTTTTCCTGGTCTTTATTCATCTGTCGACTTCTTCGATTGAATGTAATGAATGTAACCTTCACAAATCATATTGATATCATATTATTTTTCCTTCTACAGCACTGTGGCACTACCCAACAGCTCTATCCCTGATGAAGACTACAAAGCTGAATCCAACGCCTCAATAATCATTCCTAACGGCAACTCAACGGCTGACATACCAATCAAATTACTAAACGACACAATTCCTGAACTCAATGAGATGTTTCAAGTAATTCTGGAAAGGGTTGAAATGGTGGACATGACTCCTGCTCTTCCACCCCGACTTGCTGAGCCAAGGGAAGCTAATGTGACAATCTTGTCAAACGACGATGCAAATGGTCGTTTTGTCATAGTGGCTAGATCACCTGCTGCTGGTACGGAAGGATCAAGGGAGACATTGAAGGAACAGAATGCTAGTGTGACGTTCATCGTCAAAAGGCTTGGAGGTAATTAAGGATTGGTAGTGGTTAATGATGCAATTAACAGCTATTGATACAATCATTATAACCACCAATATTATAACATTTATCAGCAACAATAGCCTCTGCACCATCCTCATTAAAGTCACCATACACCACTAACACTATCATCCTTATCCTCATCATCGTCATCATTCTCTCCATCATCATCATCATCACCATCATCATCATCATC